GCGGTCGACTACGTGGGAATCCAGCGACATAGCCATTACGCTAACTGCTGGTTCCCATACTATTTTAATTTTAATCTAATCTAAAAAGTTTCCCTATAATTTTTACAATTCAAGACTTCTAATGTAATGTTTCTTAAACTTGGGGGGAAATTATATTTTCCCTAATGATAAATGTGGAAGAAATAGGGACCATCAGCTAGCATAATGGCCATGTCGCTGGACTCCCATGTAATCGACCGCAGTTCGAGTCCTGGACCCGGCGGCTTTAATTCACGCTGGGCACGTGTGCCCAAGATCCCGAGAGGAGAAGGGATTGTGGTGTGGCCATCTCCCCGGGGTGTGATTTCTCGCTTTCTGTCTCTCTGTCTTTCTCTGTCTGGTGAGTGCACGTGCCCTACAGCAAAAACGTCTCCAAAAAAGAAAAAATGTGGAAGAATGTAGCCTCCAAAACTCCATGAATGAATATCATAAGTAAAAAGCAACAGTTTTAAGTGTACATAAGTATTTAGAATATGATAAAAGCTTTCAAATTAGTGGGAAAATGATCAAATAAATGGTATAGGGATAATTGTTTAGCTATATTAAAAAATCAATCTATCTCATACAGTGATGATAATATTAAAATGATATGAAAATTTTTATTAATTGTAAGAAAATATCATTTTGAGGATGGGCAGCCTTTTTTTAGGTATAATTTCAAATGTAGGACCCATAAAGGAAAAAATTGAAAAATTTAACTACTCTAAAAATATGTTAGTATGTAAACCAAATAAGGTGAAGGTGGATGAGAAAAAAATTAGCATTTAATATGTACAAGGGGGGATTCAGAAAGTTAATGGAAATTGCATGCTTTGAAAAACTGAACAAATGTACTTCAAAAAATTTTTGCAGCAAAATAAACTTGTACTTTAATTCCATTTCCCACAAACTTTCAAAGACTCATTTAGTGATGGGCCAAGAGTCTTCATGTTTAGAGAGCTGTTACCAGAAGAAACAAACATTGCAAAATAAAAATAGGTAATGAATAAAGAGGCAAACTGGGCTAGTATGATAATAAAATACCACAGACTATGCAGCTTAGACACATGATTGACTTCACAGATTCTGATGGTTAGCAGTCAAAGATCAAGGTATCAGCAGTTCTGGTTTCTTCCAAGGGCTTTCTTTTTGTCTTGCAGACTGCTGCCTTCTTGCTATGTCCATACTGGCCTTGCCTGTGTGCACAGAATGCCTGGTGGCTTTTCCTCTTCTTACAAGGAAATGAGCTCTATTGGATTAGAGCCCTACACTTAGAGCTTCATTTATCTTTAATTACTTCTTTAAAGTTCCTGTCTCTGAATATAATCACATTGAGGATTAGCACTTCAACATACAAGTTTGGTAGGTGGCAGAGGAAGGTGGACACAATTCAATTCATAATACAGGCCAATAAAGGAAAAAAATAGTAAAAGTCAGTAACATGAAAATAAAAACTTAACTCCACAAGTAAAGAAATATAAATGTAACTACAGTGAACTATCCCTTTTTCGAACTATCATTTTGGCAGGTAATAAAGTGAGTGAATATAGAGAATAGCTATAAGAAATTTTGAAAGAAGAATGGATTCATCCTTGGTGACAAAACTATATAACAAGAGAGAATAAACCTGGGCTAATTTACGGGGTTTTCATCTTGAATAACTGGGAGAAGGAATGAAAAGAATAGAGTGTATCTGTTCAGTTTACAATGATCCAGTGCTTCCTCAGAGTCAAAGTTGAGCCTCTAGCAACCGCTTTGAATAAGGTGACTCTATACCAAATTGATTGGAACAAGAATAAGTTCTTGATTCAAGCTGGGCCAGTTAGAATTTTTGACATGTAGCTCTATATTTAGGCCTAGCCATGATGGTATGGTATGGCAGTGGGGGTTGCTGCTGTGTGGTGCTGGAGACCATGTGGGAAGGATCTGGGTTTGCATCTGGGGTCTACTTGAATGTGCCTGTCTGGCAGCAGATAGACAACAATGAAAAAAAAAAAGTCAGGTCTGAGTGTACGATTTGCAAATATGTCTGGAAAATCAAGGAAGAAAAAGTAGAATATGAAGGAGCTGACTTCTCTTTCAGCCATGATGCTTTCAATGGCAGGTCAGAAAATCCCAGAGGAGAGTCAAGAAGTAGAGGATTTTTCAGATGGTGACAATGATGATGATTCTAATGATTCTGAAATGGAAAAGCAGTCGCAAAAACAGCATAAAGAGGAACCTCATTCTGATGGCACATCTACTGCTTCTTTACAGCAGCAGGCACCCCCACAGTCTGTTTCTCCTTCTCAGGCACCTCCCATGTCAGGAACACCTCCTCTCAGACTTCCTCCTGTTCTGACTTTATAGCCACCCACAGGCCTTCCTACTGGGCCTCTGTCAGGAGCTTCTCCATTATTGAGACCACCTGGATGTCCAGGACTCCAAGGACTTTTACCTCCAGGATTACCACCAGGCCAGCCTCCTGCCCCCCCCCTCCCCAGGTGCACCTCCAGGTCTGCCTCCAGGCCCACCTCCTCCTCAAGGAACACCCCCCCCACCCCCAGGCTACTTCGACCAGCACCTCCAGGTATCTCTCTACATCTTCCTGGCATCATGTGCCCACTTTTGGTGCCTCCTCTTGGACCTGCCTTACCTGTTTCTTTTTCCACCAGTTTCCTTGCCTAACCTAGGGGTTTTAAGTGCCCCACCCAACTTGATTTAGCAAGACTGATACAAGTGCAGCCACCATTGAGAAGAAAGCTATTACAGCCATCAGTGCCAAGCCACGAATCACTCATCCCAAGGTAGAGATTACTCCA